AACTGTGCTTTTCTATTATAAGAACAAAGAGAACATTTAAAAATAGGCACGAAAAGTCCTGATTATCAAGGCAGGTGTCTAGAAAACACGATTTTTTTTTTTTAACCTCACTTGTTCTGGAAAGCCACACTGGGCAAATAACCTGCAGCTACAAAAGACAACTTTTTCAGAGATTTTGCCAGAACTTTATGTTAATTTATTTGGGTGGCAAAATCCTCCAACAAAATAAAGTTAATGGGTCTCTTTTCCACTAGATAAAAGCAGAAAAAATGTCCAATTTTACATTTTGTTGTCATTCAGTGAGTCTCTACTAAATGCTACAATTCTGTCCTTTAAGCAAAAAGCATTACTTGGTTGAGACATACACAACCAAGTTCAGTAAAATATGCCCAAGTAATCTCAGAGGAATGTATCTTCCTTTTTTGTTCCTCAATCAACCTGCTACAATTAGAAATAAAATTTGGAGTTTTTCAGACAATATATACAATTTCATAAAAAAAAATAGGAACAACTTGCAAGCTCAATGACATACAACATTATTCATGAAAAAAAAAGACAAACTAATTTTATTATATATAGACTGGTTCATAAGTGCATTATTTAAGTTGTTACATGCATGCAGTAGGGCTTGGGGTTGTTTAGAGAACTTAACTATAAAAAAAACCTGTTAAAACTTCCATCATTTAGCTTAGCAAGGACTTTCACAAATATCTGATGAAAGCTATTTGATTTCAGAAGTAACAAAATCAAATGTGCAGTCTTAATGCCTTCTTACTCTGTGATAATAAGAACACTTTTGAAGATGTAAATACGGTAAAAATCCCAGCTGAGAGATTCAGCTCATAAGCGCTCAATGAGGACTCTGCTTCCTTTAAGGAAACGAAAACAGACTTAGGCCACGGTTCATAAAATAGCACCACAGAGCAGAGTCACCATGGTAGTACGTTAGGAACAGGTAATATGCATTTACTAGGCAGCTAAATCACCCGATCATTTAAATGACAGTCTTAGGTATGAACAACAGAGAGCTGTGATAACTGAAAATACACCACAGAAGAAGGCAGAAAAACATTACTATCTATTTTCATTAATGAAACATTGTCTTGTGAAAGGAAGAAATCATTTAAAAAAAAGTGAACTCATTATCCTCCTACTACCAAAAAAAAAAAAACACCAAAAAACCAAACTTTGCAATATATAATGCTATCGGGCTTTCTTTCATGATATTATTCTTTTTTTTCAAACTATTATCTCAACAGTGTCAAATACGACATACAGTAAAAAAACTGCATGCTTGATTACATGAAAGAGATATCTGTAAACCACAACACAGTTTACAATTGTGGAAAAAAAAAGAAAGAAAGAAAGAAAAGACAAATAGCAACCATAATGGAATTGAATAATAATGATGATAAATGGAATTTATCATCAATACATCAATAAAGACTGATTACCTAAATTACAACACAAAACAAACAAACAACAAAAACGCATTTCTCTCTTCCCCTCTCTTCCACCTTCGAAATAGGTCAAAGAGTCATTTCTGCCACAGATTAACTCAAAGCCATGTGTGTGCCAACTACCTCACTCTGGACAAAAAAAAAAAAAAAAAAAAAAAAAAAAAAAAAAAAAAAAAAAGATTTTTTGTCAGAGAGAGAGAGTTTTGCTGGCTTAACACTTTAGATAGTCTGAGCTATCTGTGCAAATTTGTCCAATCGAATTGAAGCAAATAAGGAAGCAGTTAAACCGTACCAGCGGCAGAGCTGACAGCATTGCCTGACAAGTAATCCTTAACAGCAAACACAATCTTCTGCAGAATAAGAAGCTTTGCAAAAGGAAAGTACCAAAGACAGATTTTGTAATAGGAAAGTTACAGACATAGATTTTCATGTTAGGCCTTCTGATTCCTTTACAAAATTTCCTCCAGCTCCAAAAGGAAATGTGTGTATATTCAAGGAAAAGTACTACCTACTTAAAGAAAAATCTTATTCAGACAAACAGGAATAAATATTAAAATCACAAATTAAAACTATGATACTTCTATAACATTATTGTTTGAGAGCTTAGCGCAGACTCAAAAAAGCTGTATTTTAAGAACACATCAAATTTAATTACTTGTTTTTCTCATGTATACCTTCATTATCTCTTTCACTGCATGTCCTTTTAATGGTTGAGACAAAAATATTTATGTACAAAGCAATTACTTTTAACCCGATAGAAATGGATCCAAAATTTTATCTTTCTATATGATTTCTATATGCTATATTTAGACAACTGATCTTCTACACATGCAAAATACATTTCACAACATCAGAAAATGGTCTCTCATATTTCAAAGCTTGCCCAAAAATAAGAAGATAAAGCTGAGTATGTTGGCAGATTTTTTTCTGTAGTTTCACAAAATCAATTTTAGATATACCAGACTATAAGTCGGAAAAGCCAACTGCTGATCCAGGCATTACCTAAAATAAACCTTCATGCATTTGTTTTTGTAAGCCCTATGAACAGAGAAAAAAGTTAATAAAACTTCTCAGGCTTCCATGAAAAAAATCCTTTTTCAAATTACAACCCTCTGACACTTTCAAAAATTGAAACTGCTTCTTCTCTATCTAATTTTGCAGCAGAGAGCCACTAAGGTAAAACAACAATACATTTGTAGTGCCTCAGTGTCTTCACTGAGTGCTATTTCTACCCAGGCAGCAATCTTTTTTTTTTTTTTTTCTCCTATCTTCCACACGCCAATCCAGCACTCTAAAAGAGAGAACTAGAAACTAGAGTGAGAACTCCCAGTTCCTTCAACCCAGCTACTGCCTCCAGAGTCTGACCCGGCAGCTGTTTCACAGACAGAAATAACTTCTCTCTCAACAAAGCAGAGAAAGGCTCTTGAAGAGGCAAATCCTGCAAACCGGCCAATTTAAAACTTTGATGTCCTTCAGGAGGACAAGGGCTCACCCGTGAAGCCTGCCCAGATACCCTAATGCAACCACACCACTCTCAGCACCCAATCTCCCGATTAACAGAGCACTGCACAGCCCTGCCCTACAGTCTAGTCATGAATGCTGCTGCCCCACAAATACACCATGCACTCGGCTCAGTTGGAAATGCAGCACCTTAAAAATCTCCATTTTTTCCAAAGTTCCTCCATGCTAATCGCAGTTAGATGTCAGCTCGATTGCAGTAACTACTCTCCTGAGAAGTTCATCTTCTTGAACTTTCAGGAAGAGAGGACGGCTAATGGCTACTGTATGTACAAAGGCAAGCTTTATTGCCTCCAAGTGAACTGCACTTGGAGCTGGGCACATAGCTGGTAAAAGTCCAACATGACACGTATGTTCTCTGTGAAAGCTGTTTCTGAGGACTCATTACGCTGGCCTTATCAAGAACCAAACTCTTGAGTAGGAGTGAATTTCAGCTCAGAACTGAAAACAAGGCTTTCACAGTAATTAAACAACTTTGCATGGGACTATGGTCAGAAGAGTTGCTTTAAAAAAGCACTAGTTGATTTCAGTGACACAGTAGCACCAAAAGATAAAATCCATGGATTCAGAGAGTTAGGATATGACCCTTCATATCTGCATTTCTATGATTGACATTACTGACCTCAGAGGAATTAACACAAAAACTGTAGAGGCATCAGTTTTTCACACTGCGAAATGCAGTACTAAAACTTGAGGTGGTGACTTCTCTAGGTCACTTGATTTTTCTTTTGCAAACATCCATTACCAATTATATGACAAAAGAGATTTCCCCTCTCACTTTTGTGGTATACTAAAGTAACTGATCACTTTTAATGAAAAGAATATAGCAAGGGCAAAGCAAAATGCAAACCCTAACACTTACCTAAAATTTAAGGGGAAAGCATAGCCTGGTTAGCTTAGCACATTCACCAACAGACAAGAAACGCAGCTTTTTATCTACATCTTATTAGAATGCCAAATAGTGAATGTATGGAGAAAAATCAAATAAACAATCAAACAAAAAAAAGCAGCGGAGATGGCAAGGAATAGTTTTACTCGTGACATTTCCTTTTAATGCATATAGCTGAAGGAGCTGTGATGCATCAAGCACATGAAGTCATGCAGATCCCAGTCCCAGCATGACAGCGGCATCCTCCTGGAGGCCAAGGACATGCCACCAAGTCTGCTACTGTGACACTGCAGGGCAGTCTTGAAAACTGTGTTCCCAGCTCACAAGCCCTTTGGAAACCCTTATTTAATAAAACCTGCCACTACTTCCATTATCAGTCTTACCTGGAAAAGAACCTGGAAGAAGTCTTATTTTCCTTTCAAAAGTTTTTTTCCTTTTGAAAGGAAAACCTAACCCCAGGGGAAACAAAGGCCAAAATCTGTTTGAAGTTCCTTAGTGTTTGACTCCTTTAAGACATTTCAGTGCCCCTAACTAACCTAATTCCTTGCCAAAAACTTCAGCTCAAGGACAAAATAATGTCACTATTTTGGAACCTCGCCTTGAGGAAACCCAGCTCTGAAACACTGGCAAAGATGCTCTTTAGTAAAAGTATAGAAAAAAAAAAAAGCCTGAAAGGCAACTGCTTTCATCTTTTTCCTCTGGTTGTGTCCATACATGCACAGACTGCATATATTAGCTCAGTTCCTTCCCATATTGTTTCCTTCTTTTCACACAGTAAGAATTCAAGTCTGCTTTTTCAAGAAAAAAAAAAGAAAAATATATCAAAGATTTACTAACACATTCACTGAACTGAGTTTACAGTAAATATCCCCACAGTCTTCAGAATTTATTACATGGAACCCAGTTATTAAGATACCATTTAGATATGTGAGAATAAAGTGCATCATGACCCTCATGAAGAACTTTGCTGATCTGAGGTTAGCATAGTTAGTGCCAGGTTTCAGCAAGACTAATAAAATGATAATGAAAACACAAATTGGTAACAGAAATCTAAAATCCAAATCAGCACGCACAAAAAATGCAAGTTTTGTATAAATGGAGAAAAGAATGAGAAAAAAAAATGGAATCCCTTGTCCTTCATGCAACTGAATTGACTATACAGCAACGCCGACATGCCGCATCTGAAATGAAGAATCACAGTCTGTTTGCTTTCCATCTACTATTCCTGAATTCAGCTTGCAGCTTTCTGGTGTCTGACTGATTTCACCTCGTGCAGGGGAAGTAGTACCTTGGGGGACATCTACAGAAACAGTATCAGATGAAAAATCTTGTTTTTCTGATGAAATGCCAATTTGTGGGTCACTCCCCTCTGTTCCATCATCACAGTTTATACCATCATCAGCCTCTTCCAGCTGCTGAACAGATTTCAAATACTGTTGCAGAAGGCTGCTGTCCTGCTCACTATTAGAGCTCTCTTTACTTTCCCCATGTTCCCCCTGCCCATCCTCCACATCAGAAAGATACTCTGAAACAGAATTGTCACATTGTTTTACTGTTTCCAAAGAAAGAGAGCTCTCAGCTTCTTCTGTAAAACTCTTCTCAGAGCTACACAAGTCACTGGCACAAGCCTGATCAGCCACAGAAGAATGAAAACCAGAATCTGGGAACTGCAGTAAAGATTTTTCCTGAGGAGCATCGCTAGGTGGGATTAAGCAGCAAGGATTAACCTTGCTAACATCTGGCGAGGTTTCTTGCTCAAATGCGGATGATTGAATAGATGGTTCTGAGGTACAAGAAGTATTGGCTGAAGGGACTCCATGTTGCCAAGAAGTACCTAAATTTTGGGTCACTGAAAGCTGCCATTGTTGAAGAGATTTAACCTGTAAAGGATAAAAAGGATACCATTATGAAACACAACATGTAAAGAAAGGATACGTTAATATTTTTTTCTGTTTGAGAACCAAGTTGTCCACAGGCAACACAGCTTGGCACTCAGTTTGTTTCATTCATCCTGGATGTCTAACAGTCCCATTTTACCTCCTGCTTCTACTCAGCTTATTTAACTTTCCTTACATTTTGTCCTTCTTCTTCCAAGCTATATTCTAGCATTTAGAAACACAGAGTTTCCTGTTTCACACATCTAAATGCTTCCCCCGCCACCACCAGAATACAAGAAGATAATAATTTGGCAGTTGCATCCTAATAAGCTACTGAGGCTGTCCCAAGAGAAACCTTATTCATTAAGAACCAAACGTATTCATTAGCACCTTAATATCTGCAGTATGAAGCAAAGTTTTTTGAACTCATTCTTAGGGCAAAAATAAGAGGACTAAAGCCATTACCTGGTTCCAAAGAAATTTGAGTGCCTCCTCCTGTACAAGCCTTTGAACTTTATCTTCCTCTCTTTCTTTTCTTAGTCTACAAGAACACACATTCAAAGATATACAGCTTAAGTAAGCAACATCTGGATAACAAGATCAATGAGTCTACATGAAAAAAAAAACTGCTCACAGAACAGCTCTCTTGAAAGATAGCGCAGAGTCAAACATTTAGCTACTACTGCAATTTGTCATCAATATGCAATATTAAATAAATCCTCAATTTATGTCTTACAAATAAACTTTGATAACAATCATAATGATAATACCATGCAAGGAAGAGAGAACCCCTCTCATCACTGACAGCGGAATAACTCTGGAAGTTTAATTTTGAGACCCTCTATGAGACAAGTCAAGAAAAAAAAATTCAAAAGTCACACTTTACAACTGTTATTGTGATTATCCACTAAAAACATCAAAGTCCTGGTTCCAGAGGAACAGAAATGTTTCTTCTAACTCAACCCATTCACAGAGGGCACTCTGAGAAGATGAGCAGTTATGTGCGTGTCCAC